TCTTTTACTCGTGCAAAGCCCATCAAGCTTATAACATTTTCTTTTGTTCTGTAAACACTAAACATGCTTCCTTATTCTTATGCGCTTCAGATCGAAGACCACATCTCACAGTATCGAAAGACGAATCTGGTGTCTGGAAAATTCAGGATTATTAACATGCCGATCAAATAGGTTACTGAAAGAGAGTACAAAAGTACCCCGACGTCAAAACCTGAGGATCGGTATATCCCATTTACCTCCCTCCTTCTAGCGCCATAGAAGAAACGAATAGATTTTTCTCTGAATCGAACCATCGACATAAAACCCTGAACATCACTAAAAGGTCCCAGCCACAATATTATTTCCTAAGAACAAAAACGATAAATCGCATATTGTTTAATGGTGTCTACAAACGAAAACAAGACCAGAACTGGCAGGAAATACAATATAACTTGTGATGGCGTGCTATGAGTCATACACACATCCTTAGTTCACAACCTGAATGCATCGCCCTCTGTCAACCATGCAAAGAACGCACAATCAAACATCAGACACTATTCCGTCTCCACTAGCTCGCAGTCACTGGGACCAGAACACACCCATGTCGGTAAACAATTCTTTATAATCTATTGCACATATCAGCATATAACTCAGAAAATATTATAAATTCTCGCATTTCTCAACCTTTTAAGTTATCAAAGTCATAATGATTCATTATTTTGCATCACCGCTCCTCGATGAATTAAACTTATAAGAACCGCAAAATATTTTAGACACTCTTCTTGCACTGTCCATAATTCAAATTATTATCGATATTTACGTTTCAGCCTCAAGTGGTAAGAACCCTCATTGAACTTTATTTTCATCTTTAACTCTTAGCAAGTTTTACCACACTGTCTCAAACGACCCAATCTCTCATCGACCCAAATCACCCTCCATGTCAAAAATAACATCAATAAACCACGTCTTTTGGCCACTATCGGCCTGGAGATAGATTTATGATCAGCTTCTTTCTCGCAAAACATCTCAAGGACAAGCAATATAAATTTCTCATATAGTCAAACCAAAACACACGTTCGCTCTCTACGTATAGCCAATCATTTCGCATTGACTTGAAGATTCGTTGAGATTATATATATATATATATATTTCCAACACCTTATAAAAACATAAAATATCTAAAAATAACCAAACCGGCAAGAAATGAACGACCAGATTCACATCAAAATCTCATAAGTAAAATAAATTTAAGATATTCATCAATCCTACCACGAGAGACCAAAGTAATTCTCCACACTTCTCAAACCAGAAACTTTGTCGACAAGCTCGACCCATATTTACGAAACTCCGAGCTCGATCCAACTCTCATCCCTGGCGTGACATTTACAATAGGCGACCTCGAATTCTCATTTCAACCCACAAAAATAAACGACACCAATCTCAATGATCAAACGAACTTCAAAGGATTTTACGCGACACATCCAGCGGCTTGGATCGAGATCACGTTTTGATCATAAAATAGCTAATGTCAACCATTCAGCGAAGTCTCCCTTGCATCTCACTGTCAAACAGAACAACTTCACAAACCCCAGAAGAAAGTCGATTTGGAGTTGTGTTGTTCCAGTTGTTATAAGATTTTTAGTTCTCTAACCTCATCACCTCGCTTGAAGAACTGGGGGGCAAATGTTTGACCAAGATTTAGCACTAAAATCCCTCCCACCAAAAGAGTTATGCTATTAACAATATTATTAAGTATAGCCCAAGTCAGCCCACTTTGGTCTCCGAGCCAATACATGTAATTGGCCTCCCTTGAAGATTATTAGAAAAATATCACTTGAAGCTTAAGAGGAGGTAACTAAGTAAAATATTTTCCTCCTAAAGTTGTGCACGTGGAAGATCCTTGAACAGACCAAACTTCCCTAAGGAGGTGGAAGTCAAAGCAAGACTTTAGGAGCGTGTGCAACAACGTTATGATAGGGAAGAGACGAGCTATTGGTATAAAAGAGGACAAGAGGTCGCTCTCAAAGGCAGAGATTTTTTCCCAGAAAAGATATGCAAAGAGAAAAGAAAACATCATGCTAGAAAAGAAGGAGAAACCATGTATCTCTTCTAGGTGAGATCACGCTTGACAAGAAACGTTATCTACACCCTTGGATGAGAGCTCGAGACTAAAAAGATCTCTCACTCAGCAGGAGATGCGACGATAATATTTATAATCACTTCCATGATTATCAAATAATTACATTTCAATCTTATTGGTCACAATGACAAACCTTGATCATGCACGACATGAGCTCGTAGTTGTACGATGCCATTTACACGAAACAGATTGAACCGGAGTGACTCCACACCTCGTTCAAGAACTGATGAAACCGACATCTCATTCGAAATGATTATAATCGAACTACATTTAGACATGATCTCATGTCGGGTACGTAGGCAGCTCGATCCCGAGTTCAGTCGCGATCTTCCTCCCGATATCTCTATGATATTCAACCTGCAAATATAGTCCATTTTCACCGACCCATACCTGATTACATCGTTGTGTTCTGAGGATTTCGTTCCCTATTTCATTTATCTTCCCTAGATTAAACTCTCAATCACTACAAAATACTTAGTGTGGATTTTAGGATCTACAAGTATTAACCCATGAACAGTAACACATGTGAACAGTAACTCATATATTTATTTGTAATGTAGTTTCCCTAGTAATCCAAGTTTGTTTGGTTTTTTTAGAAAGTTAAACCTACTTATAAACTCTTGTAGCCACCATTGTAAAGATCATGGGAATCGAGTTTCTCTCTCTATTTTCTCTTTTTCATATTTCTCTCTAAAATTTCTTAAGATTCTCTCTTGTGTTCTTCATTCTACTGAAAGTTAATCTCAGATTCTAACATATACCGCTGTGTATGTAGGAAACTTCGCTCCTGAAGTAAGTTGTCAAGTTTTTAATGGAACTTCTTTATAAAACAGAGACAGTTCATGTTTTTCGCAAGTCGTGACAGTCGTCTGTTTAGCAGGTAACTCAGCTTGATCTACACCGCATGTTCAGTACACTAGGCGCTGGAGTGATTGAGAAGATCAGTGTCCAGCGAGACAAAGGCTTTGGTTTTGTGAGATATAACACTCATGACGAGTCTGCTCTTACTATTCAAATGGGTAACTCTCGGCCTTTCCCTCTTTAGCAGACAGATAAAGGTACTCACTTCAGTTTTGATCAAACTCTTCTTGTAAATTGATTTCACCAGTTTTCACCTAACCACATTTCCATGTTTATGTGATTACTAATTGCAGTGTTCATGGAGAAACAAACTAACTCCAACAGGCACAGCCTCAATGGGCACCACTAGTGCCAATGCCAGTCCCTAGTCTTTCCTCAATGGACCTCTTAGCTTATGATGCATCCTCAGGCTCAGCATTATCTAAGAAAAGTCAAGGCAGCTGGAGCAAGTGCAGCTATGTATGATGGTGGCTTTTAGAATGTAGCTGCGGCGCATCAGCAGCTCATGTACTATCAAATAATAAACTCAGTCTGATCTTTTGGGTCTGAGATGCCTCTTATATATATATTTCATTTTCTTGCTTTTATTTGTAGACCTTATTCAAAGTCTTGTGTATGTGAGCTATGATGAGTGTGCGATTTGTAAGTTAAGCAATAAAATAACATGAAATAAAAAGGAGTTTTGTTTGGATTCCAAATTTGATGGGGTCTAGACATGTTTGATGAGTAGTATTGTATTGTGTAATAAAAAATTAAAACTTATGTGCAAATTTCTTGTTATTTACATAATTACATGCTTCTCAGGTGGTCATTAGTATATTCACTTTTTTTTTTTGATCAACAGTATATTCACAAAACCCGTAGCACTTTCTCTCTTTCTGGTCGTTTTCAACGGTCCAATGCGCAAGCGTTGATCACAATCCTGTAATTTAGTATAAACACAAAGCAAAGGAGATTTCACATGTAATGCAATATTGCAACTATGAACTATATAAGAGCCTTATAATGAAAATTAAGTGACGGAGATAATTATATTAACCATTCATAAGTAGTGAGACTTGCGGCATCAGCTTCACCGGCGGAAGGGACTTTATCGGCGCTGAATGGTCCAAAGTTATCACATGGTGTCCCGGCTGCATAGATAGTTATAATGAGCCTTTTCATCTGTGTTCTTAGGAACAAAAGTACCATTGTAAATATTTATAAAAAAATACCATTCGTTACCTCTTTAAGAATAAACAATGATTCATTCTCCAAAAATTAACGCTCTGTCATAACTATAAGTTGTATTCTTTAATTTAACATTCACATGCTTTTAAAAAACTATGGTAAATCTATCATTACGTGACACCTTGAATTTAAAACCATGCAAAATGAATACAAGTTTCAATGGAAATAATCACTTGGTCTTTTCAAAATTTTCTGTTGTGTAGTTTTAGAGGAAGGAGGATAAATAATTACGGGTCAAAGGCGTCCCCGGGGTGCAACTTGACCCGGTCGGAGAATCCAGAACACGACCCGGATCCATGTTCAGTTTCCTGAGTCGACAGGCATTGCTATTTGCCTTGGCAATGCTGGTGAGAGGAGATCGGACGGTGGATAAAGAATCAAGCTTTCTCAATTTCCCGAGACCACTTTCCGGCGTCGGTCCGGCCACCGTATCATCCCACAGCTTGTGTAGGAACCCCATCCGATCAAAATATAAATCCAAAAATATAACTACAATATATTTATTTGTTTAAAACTATCCGGGTTTTTATTTTATTGTCTCCTACTGCAGGGAAAATGGTTTTATAGAGGTAAGGGAGAAAGAATATTTTTAGTGAGGTTAATTATTAGCTTCACCTTAATTAAGGATGTTTTAATTATGGATAAAAAAGATGTTTACTAATCAATAGTTTCTTCTAAGGTCATTGTATTTACTATTTAGACAAGGTGAATAGAGGTCCTGTGTCTTCTTAATTCTAAGAAAACACAACTTTCAGGACACTCGAGTTCAAAGTTTTGTTTTTTTTTTTTTAATTTGCCTATGTTTCAGACAAGATAGCATAACAACAACAACAGCATGATGATGATGACGATCAGAGTTCTACATTTACACATCCCACAAAGCACAATAACGACGACAACAACAACATTAAATCCTAATCCAGCAAATCTAGAGACGTTTTTAATCATTGCAATATCATAATAAAACATCCTGAGTCTTCAATTGTCAGCTACTTACATTTCCATTATTCTTGACATCATCATCATCATTGATCCTTGGCTTGCTCCTCTCCTCCTCTTGATTGTTCTGCGTTATCTCCATCTGAGTTTTCAAAAACTGCATTCTCTGCAACTCCATCTCTTTAACGAACTTCATCCTCTCCTTCTCCAACTCCATCATCAGCTTAAGCTTAGCAGTCTCCGCCTTCTCATAAGCATCCGTGAACCCGAGAATCGCCTTGGCCACCTCTCCAACTCCAACTCCACTCCCTCCTGAATCATCCATCTTCAACCGCTTGGGTGGCAGACTCTCAGCCGAGTCAGGAGGAGAAGCCTCAGGTTCAGGATCAGGATCAGACTCAGACTCAGTCTCGGAAGCACTCCGTTTCCTAAAATGCCACCGCATCGAATCAGAGCCTCTCTTCAAACCAACCCCACGTCGTCCCATTGGAGCCTTCTCAGAGGACTTAGAAGCGTTTCCACCGCCACCGATCAAAGCCTCGAGCTTTTTGAAGAAAACCCATTTGCTAGGCCCATCACCAGAAGCGATCTTGGCCTTCTCTTGCTTATACTTCTTCTTAACCGTATCGATCCTGTTCTTACACTGAACATCGGTCTTGAGATACTTGCATTGACGACTCTCGTTCACAACCTCAGCCACTTCCTTCCACTGCTGCTGCTTCAACGTCCCCTTCCCTGGCTCCGAGAATCGTTCCCCCCACGCTTCGATTAGGACCTTCGTCGCTTCCTCGCTCCAGCAATCGTCTCTTCCTCCGCCTCCGCTTCGTCCGTTTCTGTTGTTGCTGCCGCCTCCGACGCCGGTGGTGACTGAAGGAGTGTGGACCACTAGAGCTAACGCGTTTTTCGACGGAGATTGAGGCGGTTTCGTCGCGGAGGCCACCGTGACGTCGCTCGTGGGTAAAATCGGAGGAGGAGAAGGGGGAGCTGGGGATAAGGAATCGCCAGGAGATTGCGGCGACTGAGTCTCGTCTTCTTCCTCCATGGTGTGGTGTGAATGTTCAGATCGGAAATTTTGTTAGATCTGAGTTTTCTTTTCCTTTTTTTTTTCTCAGAGGCGAAGAGATAAGGTCACCGGATGTATCATCTCCGTTGTTGACCCGAATGATAATTAAATTGACGTATATGCCCTTCCCTCTTTCTTTTAATTACAAAAATGGAGCCGGTGAATATTCGTATGGTATTATGTATGGTTAATTAACATTATTACGACGGTATTATGCTCTTCTTGATTCGCGACTTGACTTGCCTTGTACGAATAATAAATTTTTCGACTTGTACTTGACTTGTTTAAAACGAGTACTTACTATTTTGGGTACTTGATGAAAAATAAACGACTTGCAAGTTACTTGCCTTGCTCTATTACTTACTATTTACGAGTACTTATGCATTATTTACGAACTTTTTCGGAATATTTAAGAATTACTAACTAAATAATATTCTGTTAGAAATAGACATGAAAATTTGTTTTGTTTATTTTACTTAAAGTAACATGTAAATTACTTTAAATAGAATATTTGTTCATATTATAAAAAAGATAAATTAAAAAATGCATATTATGGTATATAAACATTGTATAATGATCACGATAACAAGAATATCTTCTCTAGATAAGTAACAAGTAATAACAAATCATATTACTAAATTTGTAATATTTGTTGATGTGTAATACTTGACTAGATAACGACGAGTATTCAAAGATCAAGATTGGATACAAAATAAATAACAAATATAAGAAGAGTAGTGTGTATTAATGTCTAGTCCTAAATGCAAGTAAAAGAAAAGACAAATATGAAAAACTAATTAATAGATTATGTAACAAATAGCAAGTAATAGAACAAGTAGCGGGGCGAAACGAGTCAAATACAAAATATAATAATGATACTTGATACTTGACTTAGTCTTGTAAGTAATGAAAATTGTCGCCTTGTTACTTGTCTTGACAACACCGAGTACTTGAATTTTTAAGGCGGGTTCGAGTCAAATACCGAGTTTAAGGCGAGTAACGAGTAATGATGCCCAGCCCTAATTCTGTTAAGTACACATTGGTAGCTTTGCTAAATCCCCTATTAAATATGAGGAAATATTAACTTTTATATATGATTTTAGGTACGATGTATCGATTGTTTGGTTAGGTAGATTATAGTTGTGACAACTATAATCATATATAAAAATTAAATATTTACTCCCAATTTTAAATTACTCTAGGTTTCACAAAAAATACCAATAAATTGAAAAGTTAGTTTCATATTTTCTCTAGCTAGGTACTATTGAAAAAAGAGTAATCGTCTCTAGTGCCCTTATATATAAAATTTAAAGTTAAAATATCCTCAATTTTTTTCTTTTAATTTTATATGTCAAAGGAAAAATCACAAAATTAAACTGGAAGCGTCAATATTTTTTTATTTGATTTATAGAATTTGATAAAACTATTTCAAAAATTGAAAAAATGTTTTTTCATATTTTTGCGAAAATCATCAAAACATGATTAAAAACGATTTTAAAATTTTTTTTTTTCGAATTTGAAAGGTCTTGTGTGCACATGCGGTGTGAGAAATATATACCATTATTGAAGGAGGAACCGAATACATTGAAGGTGAAAAGATCAGGTAGACATTCTGATGCAGACGCAAGTGTAACAATGAATGAAAGTCTCACAGAGAGTGTGTATGCGGATGAATAAAGACTTGAAGAGTGTCTTGGCGATCAAGTTGGATTTAATGCAAAAAAGACTTGAAGAGCAAGCATGTAGAGATTCACCTTGGAGAAGGGAGATCTCGTAAATGGAAAGTTCACAAAAGACTTAGTATGGGTTTTGGGAACTTACCATATTTAGATCTTTAGTAAATATCTAATCTATTAAAATAGAGACATTCTTTTTATCTACTGATACAAGTTGTCATTTAAATTTGGACATTTTCTAGAGTGTTACAAATAATATAAGTCTTATAATTGATTGAACCGTATTACTTAAATTAAACCAACACAATTAATATAACATGGCGACCTTAATGTAAACTATCTTCAAAATACGGCAGATATCTATGTGTCTACCAAAAACACATATTTTCTCCTACAAATATGGAATGTTCTAAAAGAATATATATTATCAAAATATGGAATATGGAAATCTACTAATTATATTAATGTGGAAATCGTAATATACCATTTAGCATCTTAACAACTCCTTAAGAAAAATGGAAATTTAATAATTATATGAAACCAATGAAAATCTACTATATTAAAATAGAGTCTTTCTTTTTATCTACTAATAAAAATTGTCATTTAAATTTGGGCTCTTTCTAGAGTGTTACAACAAGCCATATATAACTGAACCGCATGACTTAAATTAAACCGATGGTTATTTATGAGATATAGTCTTGGGCTTACTTTTGTTTTTAGAACAAATTATATGGTTTGATTTTTAGGCTTACTATTAAGGAAAAACTCCAAAAAACATTGAATAAAATTTCTATCTTAATGGATCAAAAAATCAATTATTATTTTCAGGCCCAAATGTATTTAATATTTTTAACAAGACAAAATTGTCTATTATTAATCATTTATTTAAATCATGTACTTTAAAACATGTTATTGTATTTTTTTATTTTAAATAACAATCACTTTTTTTTGGATAAATTTCAATGGTAACTTTTAAATAATTTATTGTTTTATTTTTCTTAAATAACTTACTGATTTAAAAAAAAATGTAAAACAAAACCAAAAACCAATTCTAAAAACTAAAACTCAAAACCAAAAGCTGAAAACGCATTGTTCTGGATAACATATTGTTATAGTTTTTGCTTTTGTTTATTTACAAAATAAACTATTGTCAATTTTTTTTTAAAATTTTTTTGTCATCTTTTCAGTTTTAAATAAGATGTTCGATTATTTGAAATTTGTTTGTTGGTAATATCAGTTCAAACTAACTCAGCGGATCTAAAAATTAAAAACCCAAACAAAAGCTGAAAATAAAAAATAGAAACTTAAAAACTAAAAACCAAAATCTAAAAATAAAAACTGAAACTAAAAACTAATGAAAACAATCGTCACCACAAATTTTGGTAAACTGATTTTATACCAAAACATTCTTTAAAATAAGACACAACCCAATTATATAAATTTTAGTTATAAAAAATACCCCGCGCTCAAAATCTAGTTGGATAGATAGGCTAGGGTAGCCTACTTGACTATAATGTATATATAGTCTTGTACTACGTAGGTATTAGGGTTGTCACCAGAATTGTATTCTTAGCATATGAATGAGTTTCTTAAGCTTGTAAGCGAGTGAAAGCACTAATGACTAAGAGGAAATGTTCTAGAGATTTTGTATTCGATTTTAGAATGTGTGAGGCTTGGAATTCTATTTAAAAAGAGACTTGTAAATTCGATTTAAAAGAATACTAGAAAATACACATATTTTTATAGAGATATTCTTTAGTATACTTTGTGAGTTACATTTGTGCCATAATTCTTGCATTTACATACACGAGGTTGATCCGCCTACACGGCTGCCACCGTCTATGGGACAAACCAAAGCAGCAAGGTCTCCTCGTGTTCCGACAACAACCAAACCTAATAAACTCTACTTCTACGCAGTCAATGCTGCGCGTAATAGAATGCTTTCACCCTCAATGTAGCACTAGCAATAAGGTTTGTAAATTAAATCAAATGATTTTTATGTACAGTCTGTCTGGTGCTTGCGGCTCGGTAACTGTCGTTCGTGGAATCACAATTGTACATGTGTCTAATAAATGATACGATTCTCATGTACAAATATTTTTTCATACCCTAGATCCATATATATTCAAGATTCTTAGAGAACTCCAGATGAGATTTCAGATCTATATATTTATTATTATTTGCGAAATGATTTCTCACAACGGAATTTTACGTTAAAAATTAGAACGGTTAATATTATTTATACCCTTAAGGAATAATTGAAAAATTAATATAATAACCTTTCTTAAAAAAGAATTTTATAATGATCAAAACCCAAAAATAATCTATATTGATTTATCCAAACAATTATTTTATTTGCGGAGTGAGTTTTCCCAATAGAGCTCTTTCATTAAAAGTTAGAACGTGTAATATCGTTTATACCTTTGATGAAAATAAAATTTGTTAATATATAATTAACCATTATTAAAAACGAATTTTATAATTATCATGACCTAAAAATAATTTATATTGATTTATTCAAACAATTATTTTATATAATATTTTTTAAAAATAAAGATAAATCCATATATGTATTATCATTAATTTGATAATTAACATTATCTAAAAATATTTTATAGTATATTATAAAGTTTCTATTAGCATATAATGAACATGAGATATATTAATATATAAATATTTATTAAAGATAAAGATAAGTCCATATATGTATTATCATTAATTTTGATAATTAACATTATCTAAAAATAGTTTATATTATATTATAAAGATTCTATTAACATTAATGAATCATTATATTTATTAATATATAATTAACCATAAATTAAAAATGAATTTCCTTGATTTACTAATTAGTATTATAACAAAAAAATTTATATTGTATTATCCAAAAAAGTATTTTACATCATAAAATCTCTATTTGCAGAAATGGAAAACACACTATCATGCTGACGTGCTTTTTTAATAGAAAACACACTATCATGCTGACGTGCTTTTTTAATAGAAATTATATCCATACCTAGACTATCCTAAACCTATATGTTCGCAGAATTATACAGTCATATATCAAGATCTTACACACAGTCTTTAAACTTTGTCTTTCCTCTCTACTCAAATCCCTTTCCATTGCTTTTTTCAAAAAAAAAAAAAAAAAATCCCTCTGTATTTTTCCCATAAAATATTTAGCCCTTCATTTTTGCAAAAAATCTCCAAATCCCTAGAGAAGACCGAGTGATAATTTCCAAAAAGGAAGATGAGAGGTTCTGATCTATTTTACCCCAAAAAATTTCTTTTTATTTTAATCATCAAAGTTTTTTTTATAATAATCCGTAATATTGATCAAAGATTTTTTAGGAAAAAATTACGTGTGATTT